ATTATTCGTTTTTGTATTAATGTAGTTTTTTTTTTGTTTCTTCGAAGAAGCAGTAACCTACAATGTGCATAGCGGTCAATAAGTCGAAACTTTGAGCGTGAAATTGTGGATGCTTGGTTTCAGCCGTTTATACTTTTACATAGCGATAACTGTTAATAAAGGGCACGAAGTGACGCAAGTGAAGATGAAAAATTCTTTTTAATTCCAATTACGTTGTTTTAAGAACAATCTGCTCACAGGAGAGGTTGAAAGTGTCCAACATTGGCATCTATCTATGCTATTGGACACCTTTCTTAGGGTCTCATGGGAGATGTTATCAATTGCAATTCGGATTTTGTGACTCAGGCCTTTTAAAGTGCTGGGGTCGGTAGAGTACACTTGGTCTTTGAGATGACCCCATAGAAAAACTACTGGAGTCATATCCGGTGAACGTGAAGGAAATAGACGCCTACTGATTCAAAAAAACGACTTAAATTATTCATCGCGACATTTTCAGCGTTTCTCATAGCATTGTGACGCGAAGAGCTGAGGGTTCGATGTACGCAAGAGGACGAAAGTAAGCAAGGGAATCGAACCGGTCAGGGGTGCTGCTCTTACACTCTTAGCATAACTTAAACAAATTATTTCAATGAGCGCAACATTTTCCCAATCAACTTTCATTTTGTCAGTTTGGTTCGAGGAAGGAATAGAGATGGCAAAAGTTTTCTTAAAGTAGGTCTGTTACCTAAACCCGGGTAGGCCTGGAGATCTTTATGGAGGACGCATCTTTGCGCACCGTCGTACATGTGCAACGCCAGGCATATTTGGGTTGCAGAGAGCAATGGCATGGGGGTCCACTGCTGGGTGGATGGAAGAGGCCTACATTTCTTTGGCTTTGATCTGAAGGCATCGCGGAATCCAGAATAGAAACCGCACGATGAAGTTTCTCTGAGTCCCCCTTGAAGTGGCTTTTAAGATGATGTGGGGTTCTTGGGTGAAGATGGCAACATCCCACAGAGAATTACCGATCCTCTGCTACATTCTCTCTCTGTACTGAAACGTGCAGACATGCAATGCAACGTCTGGAGAGGTCGTGCGTGGAAAGTAGGAGAAAAAAAAGAGAAAAAAAAGTAGTAGAAAAGCTGATAGCAATTCGAAATTACTCTGCAGGGATTCCCTTCACGAGAGACAAGAGCGATGGCGAACCTGTCGATCCTCCGCGGAGAGAGAAAAGAAGCCCCGGATATCGGACTCGTCCACGAGATCTTCGAAGCCCGGGCGAAGGGGACGGGAAAAAAAGAGGCCCTGAGATTCCGCTGGCGAAGCATGGATTTCACAGAGTTGAACGAGACGTGCAACAAGCTGGCCCGGCTCCTGAGGGCGAGGATGTCGGGAAGCGAGGGAGATCCCGTGGTCGCCGTCTGCATGGAGCCTTCCCTCGTCCTCGTGGTTTCGCTCATTTCCATTCTGAAAACCGGCTCCGCCTATCTACCCTTGGATCCGGAATTCCCAGCCGAGAGAATCGACCACATCCTTCGAGACGCCAACCCGATGTTCGTCCTAAAATCGGGGGAATCCAAAGGCCTCGAAGAAGGAAGGGGCTCTCACCTTCTCTACGACGTCGAGGTCCTTCTCCGAGAGAGCCGAGACTTGAGCCCGGAAGACTTGGGTGAAGATTAATGTTCGTCCTGAAATCGGGGGAATCCAAAGGCCTCGAAGCAGGAAAGAGTTCTCACTTGGTCTATGACATCGAGATCCTTCTCCAAGAGAGCCAGGACTTGAGCCCGGAAGACTTGGGTGAAGATTCACTGATCCCGATAAAAAGAGCAGAAGATCGCCTGGCGGCCATCTTATACACGTCAGGAAGCACCGGAACTCCAAAGGGAGTCCGGCTTCCCCACCGAGTTCTCCTCAACCGACTGCTGTGGCAATGGGATACTTTCCCGTACGGAGACGACGAGGTGTGCTGCTTCAAGACGGCCGTGACCTTCGTGGATTCCATCTCTGAGATCTTCGGGTCTCTGTGCGACGGGAAAACCCTCCTGATCGTGCCGAGGGGAGTCACTCGATACCCGGAAGAATTCCTCGCAGAGGTCCGACAGTATGAGGTCCGTCGCCTCGTCTTGGTTCCGACCCTCCTGCGGTCCATCCTCCTCTATGCCCGGTCGACGAAGGCTTCGGATTCGGTGGGGAGCCTGAGACTCTGGGTCTGCAGCGGGGAGACCCTCACCCAGAAAGCAGTGATCGACTTCTTCGACCTTTTCCCCGACGGACACACCCTCTGCAATTTCTACGGGAGCACGGAGGTGATGGGTGACGTCACCTATGAGGTGTTCCGCTCCCGACAGGAGGCTTTGGTCAAGACTCACACGGGGAAGGTCTCAATCGGACGCCCGATATACAACACTATTCTCTACGTCTTGGACGGGGACATGAGACCAGTTGTGAAGGGAGAGATAGGAGAAATCTTTCTGGCGGGGAATAATTTAGCCAGTCTCTACGTTCGAGTCGGTTCTGCGGGAAAATTCCTCGCTAATCCTGACCTCACGGAAGGAAAGGGTGAGCTTCCAAAAATGCAAACGGGTCTGTGGACCGGTACACATCATCGGGAAATTCCTATCATGACAGACTACGGGATGCTCTATCGAACGGGAGACTATGGGCGAATCGTGGACGGGCGAGTGATTTTCGAAGGAAGGACGGACTCCCAGGTGAAGGTGAGAGGCCATCGAGTAGACCTGTCCGAGATCGAGGCTGCTCTTGCCAAGCTGGGCCTCGCCGTCTCCAAAGCCACCGTCCTCTGCTACCATCCCGGAGATCTCGATCAGGTGACGACGGATGAGTCCTCTTGCATGTTGGGTCTCGCTCGGTAGAGTGGGGCCGCGGACTTTAGGACGGTTTCATTTGTGTTGTTGATGGGGATAGGACATCATTGCCTTCTACGTGGGTACGGTCGCGACAGAAGAGGTCCAAGATCGATTGAAGTCTTTGCTGGTGGATTACATGAGCCGGAGACTTAAGGGCGGTCTCATTTGTTTTGTTGATGCGGACAGGACATCGTTGCCTTCTACGTGGGTACGGTCGCGACAGAAGAGGTCCAAGATCGATTGAAGTCTTTGCTGGTGGATTACATGATGCCCCAGGTCGTAAGGGTCCCTGGTATTTCTCTTCTTCCAAATGGGAAGATCGATCGGCAGGCTCTCCTTCGTACCTTTCAAGCTTACCGTTCCCGTAAGTTAGAATAAGAAACTTCATCTTTTAATTTTCGTCTGTTCGATTGCAACTTGATGCTGCCGTAGGTTCCGTGGTGCCTCTAGGCGACGACTTCCTGGAGAAGCTCCCGGAAGAGAAAAGAGATGCCGCTGCTTCTCTCATTCGCGTCTTGTTTGACGTTCTCGGATTTAGTCTGAAGAAGGAACAACTGAATCTGCAGTCGAATTTCTTTGACATCGGCGGGAATTCCTTGAACGCATTGCTGGTTGTCATCCGCCTGACCGACCTCGGATTCCCCATCGGTCGGTCCACATCTTCTGTTCATTCGGTACGTCTGGAACAAAGCCTTATTTTCACCAGCTGCAGGCATTGGAGAGTTCCTGAAGGCGCCTCATCTGGGAAAAGTGCTGGACAGGATGTGCTTGAGAGGTGATGGGGAAGCAAGGGAATCTTCGACAGGAAGTCCTTCCTTCCTTATCCAGCCTCTGACGGGAGAAGACCGAGAAGAATTCATCAAGTAAGGACACTCCTGCAACACGGGAACACACACGGGAACACGCCGATCGTAGCTCATCAGCTTTCGGGGAAGGGGGGACGGAGTGGGCGGATGAACGAATTCAGAACTTCACTACTAAGCTCAGTTGCTATGGTTTATTTATAACTCTTCCATGTTCACAATTTACTGATTGGATAGGGTGAAACTCTTTTCATTATTTCATATATCCAGAAAAGAAGGGGGAAAAGGATTTCGTTTTCACGAATTTTCTAATAAAGCACATTTTTTGAACATGCATTTTTCAGAGTGTTGTCACGGGCCTTCGCCACGAAGGAGCAATGGATCGGATGTACCGAAAAAGATTTTAACGTCTTGCTGAACAGCATGTGGCCCTCAGCCCTGGAGAACGACCTAAGGTAAGCGAGGGAAACGGGACCTCTCGGGAAACACAATCCCCGATGGATGCCAGTTGTGTTGTCCGTCTGCCGGGAGCCGAGGAGGTTCGTGGAAAGTCTTAAGGAGGAATGAAGGAAGAATCCAGTCTCGAATTTCCTTGTATTAGTAAGCTTCCACTCCCGAAGAGGGATCAGGTTGAAGGAAGAGATGTAGTATTGTGAAACCCATTTTTCAATGGCATTACCTTTCTTCAACCCCAACCTCAACCCAGGGCTGCCCAGAAAGGGGGTGGGTGGGGCAAAGGGGCCAATTTGACCCGGGCCCCGCGTATCAAGGGGTCCCAAGGGGAGCCTCCAAAGGGCCCCAAGTGGTCTCCAGTTTAGTTTTTCCCCAGCCACTGGAAACTTCTGGGTGGCCCTGTCTCAACGAATCTCACCTCACAACACTTCAAACCGCCTCCTTTACGGAACGCCCGAACGTTAGGTCTTGGCGTAAGCTAGGCGTAACCTCTACGAAACATACATGATAAAACAACGTGACCGCCATTCTGCTAATTTACGGTTGTCCGAATGAGATATCTCCACATCCCAAAAAATCGATCGGCCACTGTTAGCCACCGTTTCAGTTTCAGCTCATCTCATGAACTCGACACAAAGTTATATTATCCTTTAAAAAACAGAAGATCCAGGCACTGATACTAAAGTCGAAGAAGCCGTGAATCTGGAAAAACTAAGGCACACTACCCGGCAACACTGGAGGACGGGACTAAAGCCATCACGCCACGCCTAAATTAACGACATCTAATTTCATTTTATGGCGAAATGGTGCACTGGAAGAAACAAAAAGGACACTTTTTGCTGCCTAAGGGTCAATATCTTTCGTTTCATTGGTCTCCCCCCAAAAACTTCCCCCAGGAGTGGCTACCCAGGAGGGAGAGAAGACCGGAACGACATTCACATTTCTGAATAGCGAGATTCAGTGATATCCACGACCTCAGGGAGATGGAACTTCGAATTTGCTGGAGTGATTCTATGTTGAGAGAATGAAGTATACGATATTTCGCTCCTGTTGATGTTCTCAGAAAGTAAAACGAGACGATTGAAATTTGTCTTTGGAAGGGGTTGAAAAAAGGTAATAGGCGCCACTGAGCCTTTTGATACCTTGTCCCAACTTAGACTCGGACACTTCATTAGGAGCATGTTACATGAGAGCACTTGATCTGGCTCAATTCCTCCATCTCCATCTTTCTCTACGATCAGCTTCTCGGTCCGAAGACACGATGGGAGATTGATCGCGGTAGCCTTCAATATGGACTTCTCCGAAGAGCCCGATATGGACCCACCCGAGGCCCTGCTACCCGTCTTGACCATGCTCCACTCGGTGGAAAATCCGCAAAAGTTCGTACTCGCCTCATTTGCCGATTCGAGAGTCTCCCTCTCGATCGTCGTCATGGGTTGGAACGAATCATTTAGGAGCCTTCACGTGCCTCGGGGAAAAAACGAAGTCCTCTATAGCTTCATGATGGCCACGGACGAAAGTGTGTCGAAGCAGGAAAACGTCCTCGTCATGCAAATCATGGAGGAAGAAATCATTCGCCTTGCCAAAAGGAAGGGATATTCCGCCATTCTCGCCACCAACACCAACGCCCTCGCTCAGGTACTTCGACCCTCATCTCTCACACGAAATCCTTAGTATTTTGATCGAGAATCAATGACGAACGATTCACTTTTCATTCAGCAATTGGCGTCCGTGCTGGGCTACGAATTGCTCCAGGACTTCCAAGTGAATCAGTTCGTTATGCCGGACGGCTCCACACCTTTTTCCCGAGTTCCGGATGAGCAGAGGGCCATATGCGTCTTGAAACACATCTGAAACAAGAGACTCATCCTGCCTACAGTTTTCTATACATATTGCATATTGCTTATTTTTAGTTTCCTTTCTCATTTCTCATTTTTGGTTTCAATCTCATGAAGGAAGGTAAACACGTAGGTCTTGCCTCTCCTATAAGCGAGGGAGAGCGCCCTTTGTGGAGTATTCCAATTAAGGAAATGCTAAGACTGTTGCTTCGATAAGGCTGCTAATCAATAGTGAACAAAACAAGTAGAAATATATACTAAAGGACATGACTATGCCCAGGAATCAGATTCCCTAACCCTGCATCATAAGGACGAAGGTTGAGCATCAACTCGTTACCTGTCACGTCTTGCTACACACTGATGAACGCCGTCGTGCTTTGTTCTCAAGGACATAATTTCACGGAAATGGTCTGTTTCGCCCGGTTGAATCAAAATATAATATGATGTAATGAAAAATTATTGAAAATGACAGAAAAATAAAACCTCGAGAAAAGAAGTTCACGCTCCACTTAAAAACTCGACAGTTAAAGGGCTTATGACGGGACTTCCGGAGGAAAAATTTATTTGAGTCCCTGATGAAAGCTCCACCTTTGGCATTCTCTCTCTCCCACTCTCTCCTCTCCTCTCCTTTTCTTACTTTCTCCTCATCTCTCCCTCTCACTCCCTTTCCCTTTTTTCTTCTCGTTTCATGCATAAATGCCTACTCACATTGGCTGCCTCGTCCTTTCGGCTGGAAAAAACCAGACAATGATGGACTTTCTTCGGAAGGAAAGGAGGGAGAGAAGAGGCGTCTTAGTGTCCGCCATCACTGATGACGAGATAGCATAAAACTCCTTCATGAAAATAACGGAAAATGATTTTAAAATAATGGGAAATAATGGAAAATAATGGAATTCAAGCAGCAGTATTCCCTGCTCTTTCATAAATTCCTCACAGTTTCCTCTAGAGCCATCGATGGAAGTTGTCTTCCCGGTCGGAGAAATCCTTTCCTGCCCAGGGGGGAATTCTATCATTTTCTTGATCGCCATATATTTCTCAATTTCCCTCTGAGCAATGCGATCAGCTGGTATTTGCTCAGCTCAGCCCAGCTGAACCTCGGCCGTCCATTCAAATGTACGGCCGAGGTCGATCAATTTACCTTACCAAAGCCTAAGATTTTGATCGAACAACTGCACCAAGCCAGGAGAGATCCTGGAGAGACAAGCAAGCTGGACGAGTTTGCTTCTTCGTCCCGCTCGCTGAGACGTCGACGAGGCTTCGACGGGTTTCAATGCGCTTCGTGCGGCCATTGAATTCTCGCTGAACTTGTACGATAATTATGAACTGCTGGAACAAGGACACTTTTTTTAAGAGGCGTGAAGCGAGTTCAGAGACACGTTGCGGACGACATATGATACATATATGCCAATTTCGGAATGGCGATTTTGTAAGATGATGCATTATAATTTGAACGGCTGTTCAAAGGAAAGCATATAATTGCCATACTTTGCCTTTTTACCCCCAATCTCAACGCATTTTGAGTTAAGATATTGTTAAGATATTGAGGTAACATATCGACAAAAGCTCTTCCTTTTCGCTTTTTTTCGCTTGGAACTTCGGGCGTGATCATGCGAATTCAATGTCGATCGTTTCATTCATCCATAACTGAGCAATTCCCATCAGTACAGACAGCTGACGACATTCTCGTCTGACAGCACCGTCAATAGATATATAGCCGTGAAAGTCACATTTCATACTGTATTCATCCTACAAAAGAAGGCGGGACAAATGGTACTTAGTACCAACGCAGGTACAGGTATGCCATTCTGGCTCTGGAATTATCTCCTACCACCCTATTTGAAACAACCCTAAAAAATAATGAAAATCTGTCATCGGTACGTCGTAGTGAATATTCCCGGACAACTCGACAATGTCCTCGCTGGTTTCCCCGTCCATCTACATCAGTCATCCTCTAGGGCGGGAGGGCAACTGGAAAGTTTATTCATTTGTCGACTGGCACCGTAGAAGAAGACTGGCTGAAGACTGCACATAGGCAGTGAGTGGAGTCGGATATGAAAACTGCGGACGGACTCAACGAAAAAGAGAAAAAAAGGAAACAGATCGACGGCAATATCTGCCATTTCCCCATGGGTCCATAAGGGAATGACATAACGATGATGTACATTCCCATAAGGGAATTACATAACGATGATGTACATTCCCATAAGGGAATTACATAACGATGATGTACATTCCCATAAGGGAATTACATATCAATAATATTGACTTCACTTGCGGTTCACACTGAGTGCAGCGAGAAACATCCGAAAGAGGTAAGAGAGTTCGATTCAAAGGGCGCATTTCAACGGTAATAACTCCAAACGCAGCGGTAATACGTTCCTTCAGTTCGGGAATTTCCCTCGGTTTGGTCGCGTAGACTTTCGACTTGACATAGCCCCACATGAAGTCGTACGACGTTAAGTCTTGAGAATGGGTCGGCCAGGGCATTGTTGGTGATCCACGACCCATCCAATCCACTCGATCGACTGATGATTGAGATCGAGTTTTGGGGCCTTTCACATGGCGTGGTTTTCGTCTCGTTAGACTGGGAGGAAAGGGAGTAGGAATGCGTTGCAGAGGACCTCGTTTTTGCTAGTTTCGCTAGTTTTGCTAGACTAGTTGCTCTAGTTCTTTCAGTTTCTGTCGAGGTGCTCGAGATCTGGGAGAAATGATTCCTCCTATTTTGCCTTGTTTTTGGTGAGCATTTGCGCGATCGATGCAGTTCGATCGCGCAAATGAACTAAATGAACCCTATCAGCAGGAATAAGGTTTAAGAACGTTTCCCTTCGAAATGCCTCTCTCGGCTTGCGATACAATTCTCCCCACGTTTGTATAGAGCTTGGAACACTGGTCGTCAGCCACCTTCACCGCATCGGTCGCAGCTGATCGGACAGTGGTCCACGAGTACCATACCAGCCAGCTGATCGGACAGTGGTCCACGAGTACCATGCCAGCCAGCTGATCGGACAGTGGTCCACGAGTACCATGCCAGCCAGCTGATCGGACAGTGGTCCACGAGTACCATGCCAGCCAGCTGATCGGACAGTGGTCCACGAGTACCATGCCAGCAAAATGGAATTTCCAACCAATCCTTGACATTGTTCCCACATCCTCCGCATTCACCCGGACCTCGCAACTCGTGACTTCACGCTGTTTCCAAGATGAAATTCCTTCTGAGAGATCGCAGCTTCGACGACCCAAGCGCCATTCAATCAGCTGCCACCCATGCGTTGTAGGCGTTTGCCCAGAATGGCTTAAAACCAGTGTTTCAGACTCTTTCCAAACGTTACGAGATGTGTATCTCAAGCCAAGGGAGCTAGTCTGAAGGGCATCGCTCAAACCTAACTCGCGTATCTAGTTTCCACGTACGAAGGCCAATCCTGGAACTTTTTGATGGATCCTCGTATGCCCTATACATTTTCTCTCAGGAAATGGAGACAGGAGAACCACCCCAGTCTGCACATCTACGTTGATACAACGTCGTAACGGCATTAAAGTCCCAACATCCACAATGTTAAGTCAAAGTTGAAGAACGCTGATAGAAAAATTGAATGAACGTTGAAAAGTGTCAATTTCTCAACATGCACCGCATGGCACATGCAGATGAACTCGCTTTTTCGCCATTTCATTGCTGAAGTATTCCATGAATCATCAGCGCCACCCCGACTCACTCACTCCAAGGGATTTTGGCGAGATCAGAAGAAGAAATTTTAGTCTGGTCTTGGGGAAGGATATATACAGAGATGCGACAGCTGTCAATCGCTCCGTGAATCCTTCTTGGGGTAGCTTACTTAGCTTTACCCTTACTTGCTTACTGATACTCTACGTGTTGCATAAAGGGGTCTCATGGAGTCAGATCAACACGCGAACTTTGTTCTCTCCGTTCCCCAGGCCAGAATTACCGAGGATCTCATTGGGTTGTTCTGCTTCTTTCATCGAATGGATCCAGGAATTCGAATACCTTCCCCGGTGTTGCTTTTGGAGAAAATATTAAGTACCGTTCCGAAAGTACTGGGGACGCGTGCCAGTTGCATATATGAGATAACTCCCTGTCGTAGCGATTTGGCGCCATCTCGCATCGGGATCAGGAAACCATCTTTGTTCGAATGTTTCGCCAGATGTCTCGCCCGACATATGTTGATGTAATGTTGACTATGCATTGAATCTTGAGCATAAACACCCTCTCATCATCGTCAACATATGATCAACGTTGAGTCGACGATGTCGTGCAGACTGGGATGGTTTATTTTCCAACCCAACTTCGATCATTCTTCCAGCTTGCCTCAATAAGTTGACTAATGGCGAAGGAGGTGTTGTGTATGGAATTATCGTATAATGATACGGAATGAGAAGGACCTCAAGAGTTTTGTTTCCGTGAGGGCGTGAGGGAGGTACCTGTTCTGAAATGCCCTGGTTGAAATACCTCATCGCTTTCTCTGGAATTCATGTGTTTTAACATTTGGCTTTCAAGGTCCTTGGTAAAATACGTAAATTACACAATGTATCAGAGATTAGCGATTGCTCTGGACGCTGAGGCGTGAACTGCGTCGTGCGCATAAACTCAGGGAAATTGGTAAATCGAAATGATAGACTTGGGTCAACTTTCGCATTTCGACCTTTTTTCGAGAGGAAAAGGCATCAACATGGAGTTCCGATTCATATCAGTCTCTTCCCAACCATGCCGGTTCGCCCGAAAGGCGTCTACAAAACCGAAATGCGTCTATAGCCGAGTCGAGCGGGTGGCTTGAATGCCTGCACATCGTCCAGACGCATGTCGACCTCCATCGCTTCGAAGAAGGCCCCCCCCCCTTATAAACCCTCGGGGCAATGCGTTCGCTGTCGGGACACTCACGCGCAGGCGCGTGAGCGTGCATGGCCTCTTCGCCCTATCACCTTCTCCCCGGCCCGTGTTCGTGGCTCGTGCGTCTCGAAGGGATTCTGAAGTGATCGCTTCCTCCGAGGCCAGTTTCTGTTGCGTTTGTGTGTTGTGGTTTCGTGCTGCGGTGGTGCAATAGATATCGCCGGTAGACTAAGCTTCCGAGTTTAAAAGCCTGTGATATTCGCACAATAGATTCATCTAACGTAATGGTATTGGTAGCTTATCATCTTGAATCAATAGGTGCTTCCGCGCCTTCTCTCAATTTTGATCACCCCTCCTATGAAAAATATCCACCTTCGCATATTTCTCTTTGAGCATTTCAAGGGGGGGAGGGGGGGAATCGAGTCTTCTCCGTGGTCTTTTAACGGAGTCCCCCCCAAAGAAAGTATTTTAAAATAATTGTTATCCCTTGGAAGCATTAAAAAAAAGAAACATTTTATATGCAATATAAAATCTATAAAATTGTATATTTCATATAAAATTTGACAAAAGCAGATTTCAGTACAAACATCATTTTCCCCACCGAACCGGGGAACTGTTGAATTTCGGATATGACACTTTCAAGGGAAGTTTATGGATCGAAACTTGCAATTTCTGCGGTGCAGAAAATTCCAGAAAATAAATTATTTTCGGGCAAGTCATCATTACTTAAGTGCCAATAAGTTTTGATCTAATTAACGTAGAGAGCTGAAAGTGGTGTCATTTTAAAGGTTTCTTCACGCCCTTTTAAATGATTGTGACTCCAACATTATAATAATTAATTAGAATAGCTGCAAGTACTCTTACGCAAAATTTGCCATATCATGTCTTCGGCAATCGCGAGGAAGACCTGTAAGACGTGCAGAGGGCACTTCCAGCCGTTCTCCCAGGAATGTGATCGCGACGCAAGATCGACCAATCAGGAACGACTTGATAGTCACGTGAGCTCCGGTACAACGTCTGATAGTCGCGTGATTCATTTAAGTCAGTCATCTAGGAAGGAAAGTTTCTGCCGATGGCGAAGCAGCTGAAATTCAAGGCACTACAATGGCCTCCTTTCCAGCCAATTGTCTCACATCCACAACCTGGGTTTCTAGCCAATTGTCTCACCTCCACAACCTGGGTTTCTAGCCAATTGTCTCACATCCACAACCTGGGTTTCTAGCCAAATGTCTCACATCCACAACCTGGGTTTCTAGCCAAATGTCCGCCGGTGAAAGCAACCGACATGCCCTCTTCGCCACCAGAGAAGTAGGATGCAACCTGAACGCCGGTTCTCGAATGAGAGACGAACAGAAAGGAAGCATACTGTGTTATTCGGGATGGCGCGATAGGAGAACGGGACAGGGGAACTCCGGTCACGGTCAAGGGTTCCAAGGGTATGCGGTCAAGGGTTCCAAGGGTATACGGTCAAGGGTTCCAAGGGTTTGCGGCCAGGATGAACTAATATCAGAGGAAGGAGTCACGAAGGTTAGTCCAGCAGGGAAACTGAAACATTCATTCAAAATAAATTCCCTTCCTGAAGAAAGGAAACTTACTCGCGGCAGATCAAAACCAGGGGAAATGCATTGCATTCGGATTTCTGGGGAATCGTGAGTTTGCAACCTTAAGCTGTGTGTCGCTGAGTCGACACTGCCCTTCGATTGGATGTCGTTTGAGCATCATCAGTGATCCGCGGATGTTACTCGCCGTTGCAGTTCTGGGACGCGTAGCCAAAAATGCCATTCGAAAATTTTGAGCTTGAACGCCTAGTGATACGTTCGCATCACCGTCTTCCTAAAAAAAAAAAAAACGGGTAATGGAAATTCTCTATTCGTGCTTCATGCTTGAAACTTCGCAGCGAAGGGAAGAGGTTTCAGAAGCAGAAGCCAGCCGGAAATGACGGCAGCCTTCGTGATGACGGCGTTTTCAGATGACTCACGAGGCGGCTTTCTTAAGGCTTAGACTTGATAAGCAGCTGGACATTTTCTTAGAGACAGTCGTCTGTGCCTTCAGTGATGTGTTGCGGCTAAGACGGTGGTCCTCTGTAGCAAGCAGAATTGCTGTAGATTTATTCGTCCTGGCGACTTTGATAGCCACCAGCAAACTCTGTTGCCTTTTCCCTTTGGGAAGGTTCCGATTTCGCCGATATGGAATCGTTAGCCGGTAAGAAAGCGCTACGATGCTAACCGGGTTTCTCACCTATTTTGCATTTTCTGATCTTCTCCGTCCATACGACACGAAGTGAGTTCCGAGGCACTGAGCAAGAGAAAGTAGCCACATCTCTCAACGCAACTTGGTGAATGTGACAGCTTGATATAAATGCCTAAATATAAATGAGAAGTTCTCCGAGAAGGATACAAAAACTCGGTTCACCCTCGACGGAGCACTGTTCGCGCGGTCTCGCGATTCATAGCAAATGACAGCTTCTCGGCGAAATTGCGGATGAGCCACAGATTTTCAACAGGGATCGGATCTTCATGGAAATGGATATTTCTTCTTCAGTCTCGTCGGAGTTTACTCCCCGGATGGGATCATATTTAATTATTTGAAGAAGTGATTTTGCGCCATTTCACTAACATATAGAAATTGGTATTTTCGCAATAAAAAAAATAGAAATCAGAGTTTCCAGGGAATAGCAAAAAAAAAAAATTTCCACGAGTCATTTGCTGTAGCCGATAAACCAACTACGCCCAGAAGGCGACTGATTTAATTTCCGCGCTTCCCCGTCGCTGAAGATAAATATGAATATGAAATTCGCCTTCAAGTTCCTTCTTCGAATTTAATCGTTCTACGTTTGAAGAAGCATATTTTTGCATATTTTCCTCGCATTTTAAAATACACATTTCTTGCTTTTTTTTTTAAATATGATAAATATATTTATATGCTTATGTACGAGGGGTGATACTTTCTGCCCTGAGATATATTAGAGCATGTTGAAACCAAAATGATTTTTCGGCATTGATGTCCATGAACATCAATGCATGTCCGATTGATGGGAAAGGGATTCAAATTTGTTGCAGATTTTTTCGTTTTCCATCAAATAAAAGTTCGTGAACGGATTCACTGAATTAACATTATTGTCAGTTTCATCTCCGTGGTCGCTTCGCTGGGAGTTTTAATTAAAATTATTAATTAATTATTTATTAATACACCTGACGAGCGGTGAAATACGTGAAAGGTATATTTCTCTCCTTTCTTGCTCCCGGCTTTTTGCATTAAATGTCACCTGCTTAATTTACGAAAAAAAACTGAATAACATAACGTTCGAGCATTTCCCTCTAAAGGTACCCTACCCATTAGTGGAAAGGGATTGAAATTTAGTGAGGATGAGTCGCTTATCAAATACTATTTACATAGAAGTGTGTGGGATAATATATGGCTTTTTTCTAGTAATTAGAGATACTTGTGCTACACAAAGTGGTTGCTGCTTATTTTCACTGGAATGAGTGGAAAGCTTCTTACTCTCCCCCAGTTGCTGCAGGTAGAATCTTTCCATAAGTGGATGACCTGAATCTGTCAGATTCGCTCCTGGTGGTTTTCTTTGTTCATTATGCAGTCTCTGTTACATATGTTCGCGCATGACGGAATCATTTTAACGCTGTTTATATTAAATGAGAATTACACTTTTGAATTGGGCGCCCTATTTAATGGTATGCTTTTTTTATGATCGAGTTCCAGTCTGAAAGGAAAATCAAGAAAACTCATTAATGTTGCTTAAAACACCAAGTGACTTTTCATGAAGATTATGTCTTTTCAAGTGATTCTTGCACCCAGAGCATATTTTCCTTGCGTATAGTCCATGAAGAAACGATTTTTGTTTTCTTTTTTTTTTTTTTTTACAGAAGGATGATATTTTCCCCTTAATATTACTTCTGGACAACAATTTGAATTCCGTAACGAGAAGCATACGAAGACCTGTGACGTTCTCCTGAGAATCACATGCCGTGCACTCGGCTGTCGTCGAACGGCGGCGCATCCGGGAAGTGGTTCTCGATTAGGCACGGACAGCTGTACTTGTGATGTCACGGAGGATTCTCAGTATGCGAAGTGAGTCAGGACCTTGAATGTGGATGAAATGGTGATGCTCAGCTCCGACCTCCTCCTCCCCATCCTCCTCCTCGTCCGCATCCCGGGGGACTGTCGGGAGACGAGCGAGGAGGAATCACCGAAGACGGAATGCTGCCCAGGCCAGGAAAGTCATGCGGTGTATGACCCAGAGACGGGAAGGGCCCGTTGCCTGGGCAATAGCTCTCGACCTCTCCTGCCAGACTGCGAATCGAAGCTCAATTTCTCTCTATTGCCATCCGCTGAATCATACCGTGACCCCAACTTTCCCTGCAACGCCAGCGCGAACCGCTCCTTCGGTTCGTATTGCCACGACGACTTCGTGGTCAGGCACGAGGACACCCCCGTCAAAGCCGAGATATTTTGCGCCTCTCCGGTTCTCGCCCAGTATCAAGCGAGGAAAATCATCTTCCCGAAATGCTGTCCACGGGGAAAAGGCTTCGATCTGGCTCAGAACAAATGCGTCTCGCACTCCCTTCCTTTGACACTTCCTTCGTCACATTCCGTGGTAGGAGAGACACGAAATCAGTGCAAAGACGATTGTGAACTCCTCGTCGACGACTTGTCATCCAACCCCTGCCTCAAGTATTACTTGTCTCCGGAAGAAAATCCTTGGGATTATTACGAGTTCCGCGAAACAGGGCAACTGTATGTCCCAGCAACGAATGCCACGTACTCGAACGGGGAATTTTGCCTCGACCGTGGGCGGATCCCTAATGGCTCCTGGGTCCAGCTGGCTAAGGTTTGCGACCCAGAAGATAGGAAGGTCGATCGAGAATGTGAAGACAACGTTTGTGTCCAAAAATGCTGCTCCGTGATGGATGTGTTAGACGTTTCGGAAGGGAGACCCGAATGCAGGCCGGTTGAGACTTTTTACTTGACAGACAGAACTCTTCTCAGTCCCTTCCTATCCTCTCATGCCACGAATAACGACAATAAAACCATCACGATTCACCCAAAATGTGATGGAAACGACACGAGACGAATCCTGCAGCCCCCGATCAGCGCCAAGGACCCCAAAGCTCGTTATTACTTGACCCAGTCCTGGGGCTTGCACTTCGAGGAAACCCGATATTGCATCGACGAAACGCGGAACGGCAGCGATCCGACGAGCCCCCAGTTCCTCGTCTGCTTCAAAGCGACCCAAGAGGACGAAGACCTCTCAGCCATGAGCGAAACGATGTTCCTCGCCCATTCCGTGCTTCTCATCGTGCTGGCCGCTTTCTTGCTCCTCACCATCCTCTTCTACCTGGTTTCGCACGGGAGAAAGGGCATTTCCGAGACGTGCCTCCTATCCTACGTCGGCTGCCTTTTGGTCGCCTGCGTTGCCCTCTTGGTCGGCCAGTTCGGCGCTCGCTACGGGATCCCCACCTCACTATGCTTCTCCTCCGGTATCATTCATTTTGTCCTTCATTTATTCGTCAAAGACGTTAAACTTTCATGTTTTCCTAATGGGGGATATTTTCCGAACATCAACTATTTTAATAAATTCGCAGTTAAAAAATTTGTGATTGCGCTGATAAAAAAACCTCAATTTCTGAAATGGAAGGAATTGCTCGTCACCTGAAAAATATTTGTGGGTAATGACGTTGAAGGGGGCGAAAAAGAATCTAAAATATTCAAATCCTTTTTTTTATTATTTATTATTATTATTTATTTTATTATTTTTCTGGTGGCATTCATAACTCTTCTCACGTCCGCTTCTTTCCCCGTTCACTTAGGAGAATTCTCATCAGGGTGGCAGATAATTATTCGCCGACAAATTTTTTTCTCCTCATTAAAATCTGCTCAGTCGGTCTCAGTCGGTCTCAGTCGGTCCAACTGACATTTCTCCGTCTTGCCCTTCCAGCCCTTTTCACCTTCTACTGCAGCATCGCAGCGTTCTCCTGGCTCAACATCATGAGCTTCGACCTCTGGTTGAACGTGGCCAACCCATTCTCGTCCTTCAGGTGAGCGAAGCGGCCCACCAACGATCGAATATATCTCGCGAATGCGGGAATGAATAGAAAATATTACAATATTACAAATAACTATTCTAACTCGCTTTTTTTTATATATAGACGTTACTTATCAGTTGTGAGCAAAAAAATATCCGCGGATCCCGTGGCCCGTTTGTCGCACGGTGGCCGTTCAAGGTCGATCTTTCTTTTTTTTCTGAAATCTTGATCTTTCCCACATTTTTTCCTTATCAAGTTACAAAGATGATACCAAAGGAAATCCTTCATGAAGGTGAATGCCATTATTTTAGTTTCAACTTTGTCTTTCTTGCAGCCAGAATTTATTCTGCATGAAACTTTAAAAAAAATGCAGGATTTAACTATTCCCCCCCCCATACCAGGCCAAGATAAAAATATATATTTCGTCTTTTTTCGATTGCAAATTTCTTGAAAAAAAAATCCATTATACTTAAGTTGTGGTATTTTACTAGTACTAAAATGTTGGTTCTAAAAGAAATTCCTCCGTGAGGGGCAGTGCCCATAGGGCAGAAAATCGCCGTGAAGTTCACATTGATTGTGAACGAAGTCGCCGCAACAGCCGGTTTCTTTAATTCTGTGGAAAATCTCTGGGCTGGAGGATTTTTCAGCGGCGGGCTAAATTTTGCGCTCGAGAACCTTGGCGCGCCAAGACTGACGGCAGCAGATTTTTTTGTCGCTTTCACGTTGAATTTCCGGAACGATCGTGAATGATCTTTACGAGCAACATAAAAATGTTCGTTCTATCGATACGACAGATAAAAGTCCACCAAAATCACATTCGTGGGAGATTTGGCTTCCAGACTTCCTCCGTAAGGGATGATGAACGCCTAAAATTAATTTCCACCATTTATGTAAGTCAGAAGGACTCTTTTCATGGGCATTTCAGTTCTGTTCCGTTGAGCCCCTTCATTCCAATGACAGTGCAATCGCAACTTGATAATTTTGAGAACATCGAGTCCCGAAAAATTATTTTAAAAAAATATGAAAAAATATGTAAAAATATGAAAAATATGAAAAATATGTAAAAATATGAAAAGTATGAAAAGTATGAAAAATATGAAAAATATGAAAAATATGAAAAATATGAAAAATATGAAAAATGTGAAAAATGTGAAAAATATGAAAAATATGAAAAATATGACAAATATGAATTCCTTTTCTCCCCGAAGGAGCGCGATGATGCCTTCAGAGAGGAATAGGATGCAGAAGAAGAAGTGGATCCATTACAGCCTTTATGCGTTTGGGGTGCCGCTGTGCGTCGTCGCGGTCGCGTGCGTCGTGGAATTCGCGCCGGGCGTTCCGCCCGGCGTCATCAGGACGGGATTGGCTCCCAACCCGCAATGCTGGCTCAAAGGTATATAAGTTTGTATGCTAAAAATTTTGATAAGTACGAAAAGTAAGTACCTCGTGGTATTAGGGCTGCTTTGCCACAAACCACCACGATGAAATGCGTCGCAGGATTCTTCAGTTTGAGTTCACCAATAGGAAGAGCAATGACGATTTCCCCTATTTTATTCCTTGCTCGTGGAGATCGCGATGGGACCATCTTATACTACTATGGGCCGATCGCCTTGCTCCTCGTGGCCAATATCATCTTCTTTGCCCTCACGAGTCGCTGCTTATTCCTCCACGCCAAAGACACGGCTCATCTGACGCGCAACCGACAGTCCGAATCCCACAGCCGGAATCGAGAGCAGTATGTTTCTACGATCGTTCAGGTTTTTCCTCATCGGGATCGAAGTCGATGCGACTCTGTAGACATGAAAGACGATGATTATTTTCCCTTTGTGCGAAGGCTTTCGTTCGGGTGCAGTCGTTTTTCCTCGTCTCTTCGTTGCAGGTTTTGGTTGTACGCGAAGTTGTTCGTGATGATGGGATTGAGCTGGGTCACCGAGGTCATCGGTTTCTTCGTCAGAGAACCGAAGGAGCTTTTCCTCTTCACGGACGCCGTCAACAGCCTTCAAGGACTCTTCATCTTCCTCATCGTCGCCTGCAAGCGAAAAAACCTCGAGGTCCTGAAAAAGCGGGCCGACCGATTGTTGACCCGACGCAAGAACCTGGACGAGACCTCCACCTCGGGGATCGGCAGCCTTGGGGAGGGCGACGTCCGTCCCGAGTGGAAGAGCGGATGCGCGGGTGGGGGCGGGATCTCGCGGTCGGAGATGTCGGAAGTGTCGGAGGTCGACACCTCGTCGACGACTCTGTCGCGGACTTGCACGTTTCAATTGTGAAAGGCGTCGGAGGGGTGGGGACGGTTTTTCAACGATTTCGGAGCGATTCCTCGAGTGCATCCGTTTCGTCTCTTGAGACGCTCGGGCCCGGAGAGATTCGAGCGTCGGAGGGCGGGAACCGAGGCTGAGGCCGGATGCCGAAGATTCCTTCGCAGGGTCCGAAATTCTCGGGATTCTCCCTTTTCGCATGGGGGGGGAGGGGGGGAGGGGGGGGGGGGGGGGGGCAGTG